CATCCTCCAATCAATCTCAAGAGAGATGAACTAATGGACCAGCCTGGATGAGCCATCAGTCAAGGTCAAGGTCATAAAATACAAGCATGGTTGCTAGCACCAGTTCTCAAGGCAGGGAGACTGATCAGAGAAGACATCTCTCAGATACCTATTACACTTATTTGGGGCCTGTTAAAATGCACATTCCAAGACCCAAACCAGATACTTTGTAAACCTCCCTAGGATTCTGATGCATGATCAAACTGAAGAACCACTGAGTTTGGATCTTTCTAGAGCAGTACTGTACGAATTCTAGTTGTCATCACTTATCAAAATAAAGTAATGACAGCTACACCCTGACCCTGGGCGGATATCATTGGGGTTTTCTAATGAGATGGGATAAAAGGCCCAGTAAGGCCATCTTTTGGAGCCCGGGAGGTTTCTGGTTGTTGAATTCAGTTGTCAGAGATGCCATTACAACTTGGTGGCACTAGAGGGCACCCTACCAACTGCCAGGCCTAGGATGCAGCAGGAGACAGCCACCTCCCTTCAAAATGTTAAGATCCATCCGGCGCGCACGCACACACACGCACGCGCAAACTGATACCCTCCGAGGTCAAAGAAAAGTCTTAATTGGTCTCTTGCCTTCAGCACATTGAGTCATTATTCCATAAATAGTGCTGTCGCCTAACTGGGGCTTCCTTGGGGAAGGCTGCACCCCTTTCAACTGGGTCCCCAGTGAAATTGCAGGGATAAGGCTCAGTGATACTTAACCTCTTAAGCAATTTAACAGTTTTGCCTTGTCCTGATCTCGGGTCCCTTAGCTCAGCCTCTTTGCTCTCACTTCTGTGTCCTTCCCGTCGGGTTGTGAGTCTGGGGTCAGAGGCCCTGGGTGGCTCACCCCTGCTGCCCCAGGCTCTGCCCGAAATGCTCCAGGAGAGCTCCGTGGGGCAGACTGATCTGGGACCCTGCCCCAATTGATTCTGCATGACCCAGGGTGGCATTTTACCTCCCTGAGCCTGATTTTCTCAGCTGCAAAAATGGCCAACACACCCATGTCATGGCATCTCGGTCCACGAACTCAGTCTGCAGGAAACACCACCTTGTTTTTCTACAACTGAACGTTAATTTGAACTCCTGTTTTGCGGGGTGACAGAGATCACCTCAAGTCAATCACGGGAACCTTTGCCCGTTGTCAGTGCCCTGGAGCATCTTGGCTCCAGGGGGCACACACACTGCTGAGGCACCGAGGAGGGCACCCTGGTCCCCACTGATGTCACTCTGACCTGCCATCAATCATTCTATGTCACAAAGACCCAGTAACCCAAACAGGATGACCACGCTTTCCTCCCAGTCCCATGAAAGAATCTCTGCAGCAGCAGTCCCGGGCTGGTGGAATTGCACCGTGATGTTGTGGCAATCAAATGTCTCTGCTGCTCGCTATTCTTGTAGCGACCAAAAATCCGGGAGCTAGGAGTTGGTGGAAGAAATAGGGTCTTATTCAAAGCCCTGGAGAAGACAGAGGGGCTTGTTTTCACCCCAAATCTCTAACGTTGGGGACTCAGGGCGCAAAACGCTTTTTAAGAGAAAAAAGAGGTACCGCGAACAGAAAGGCTATGTCCTGGGCCGGGCCTCGGTCATCCCGAGGTGGGTATGTCCTCTTGTGGGGACCTTTGACCCCCTCGGCCAGTTAACTGAAACCTGAGGGAGAGCGTCTCTTCAGCACAAAGGAGGGGCGGAAGGCAAAAGGGAGAGGAGGGCGAGGAAGGGACAGTTTCAGACAAAGTTCTGTAAGGCCCTTGTACCCCCAAATCTGCCGCGTCTCTGGCTACCGACCATGCAGCGAGACCGGCAGAAGAAGCCAGGAGCAAAGAGCGCAAGTGTTTCCTGGGGTTGCCCCGACACGCCCACTCGCCTCCCATTGGCCAGAGTTAAGACATGTGACTACGTGTAGCTGCAAAGGAGCCTGGGAAATGGAGTCTTTCTTGAATTGCGTGAACCCCGCTAGAAATCAGAGTTCCGTTCCTTAGACAGACAGGGAGAAGGAACACAGGGGACACCTAGTGCAGTGCCCACTCTCCAGAATTGGCCCCCTTCCCTTGCCCCAAATCTCAGCTTGAGGATGAGGCAGAGCTTGGCTTGGGGATCTGGGGAAGAAACGAGAGAAAGAAAGTGGTCCTCCCCAGCTCAAGGGCGCCTGAGGGGCTAAATGCTTTTCCTTTAAGAGGATTTTTGTTGTGAACTGTTTCATACCTACAGTGAAGAATAAAAAAAATTAATGAAAATTCACTGTTGCATCTGATTTTAAGAAATGAAATATTACAGATAAAACGAAATCCCTAGTCATCTTTCCCATCCCTTACCCGATGCCTGGGCCCAGAGGTGCCACCATCCTGAATTCAGTGTGTGTTCATCCCTTATGTGGTTTTTACTCTCCACGCACATTTCTGTATCACAAATATTACAAAGTGTGGTTCTGAAGCCATTTGAATTTGATAGAAATGGTCCTTACTGCGTGATTCATGGTGCAAGTTGCTTTTCCTTTCAGCATGTCTTTGAATTGGGGCCACAATGATAACTGTAACTCTACCTCAGTCATGTATCATGACTGGGTTGTGTATGTGGCGTTTGGATTGTGGTATGTGACTACACCACCAAGAATTTATTCTTTTGCTGGAGAGTTCATCTTTCACAATTGTTTGCTATTAAACCATTCTGCAGTAAACATCTCTGTACATGTATCTTTGTGCACATATAAAAGAGTTTCTCCAGCCTAGTGATTCTCAAAGTGTGATTGATCCCTGGACCAGCGGATAAGATCACCTGGGATTCTGATAGCAATGCATATTCCCAGGCCCCTCTGAAGACCTGCAGAATCAGTGCTCCAGGGAGGAACTCTGTGCTCTGTAGGTAGGAGCTAGTGATGTGCTAAGGGTTATAGCAGATGTAGAATTGCTGTATTTGAAGAGGCACGTCTTCTAGTTACTAGACACTGCTAGATTTTTCCCCAAATTTTCCATGCATATCAGAAGCAAAAGTTTCCCTTGTCCTGAGCCATCTTTGGTATCACAGAATTTAAAATGTGTTACCAAGTGAGTGGGAAGACTGGGCTCTGTTAAAATCTGTGGATGTGGTTCTCTCGGGTCCTGGGAATCCCTCTTTCAAAAGCGTCACACTTTCTCTTTGTTCTCAGGGCCCTGCAGGCCTACAGTTTGGGAGATTAAAAAAAAAAAACAAACCACTTTACCCTCCTGTTAGAGTTTTCCTTTCTAGAGCAAGAGAATGAAGGTGCATATTAGTTACTGTATGTGTCTGTCTGCCTTAGTCAGGCTTCTCAGTTGCAAGCAACAGAAATGAGGTAATCAGCAGCATCAGTTGGGGGGCTCATGAATTCGGGGGGGCTGAAGATCAGGTTTGGGAAAGGTCATGCTCATCCCAGGGACAGAGAGGGGAGACAGAGGTCCCAGACAGGTATGGGCTGAGAGCCTGCTCTGCCCCCAGCATGGACCCGGTCCCTGTGTGTCCTGGCCACACCAGGAACCACCCTCTGCTGACTTGAGGAAGGGCCGGGCCTCCTTGGTTCCTGCTCCAGGGACAGGCACCCAGGAGGATGCCTCCACAGGGAAGATGGGGCACTGGGAGGAACAGGAGAGAGGCTGAGAGTGCAAGAGCTAAGAATGTCCCCTGCTGGGTGGCACCAGGGAGCTGTGATGAATGATCAGCTCATTAAACAGTGTGGCCTTGGTGGGGGGTGAACGTGAAGCTGTTTAATGTTCCCTCGGTTGCTTCCTATAGGAAGCCACCTGTCCTTCACTTTCCCCCCATCTCCTACCCCCAGGGGCTTACACCGCTGCCTCTTTCTGCAGGGCACCTGCCAGCCACCAGCCTGTGTGAGGCAGCAGCAGAAGCCATGCCAGCCTGGCTCCTCTAAGGTGCCCTTGCCACCAAGAGCCCCTTTGTGCCTTCCCTGAAAGTCAGGCGGCCTCTGCTGCTGCTGTCTCTGCTCTCATCTCAGCCCTTTTCTCCTGGCCACTTTTCTGTGCTCAAAAAGATGTGGAAAGGAGACAGATCTGAAAGGCTTAGGTCCAGCTGGAGCAGAAGAGGCCAGCACCTCCTTGCAGATGCCCCACAGTCATGCTGGTACAGGAGTTCTGCCTTCCTCAGAGGCCCAGGCTCCTTTGATCTTGCTTCTCTATCATCCTCAGGGCAGGGATTTCACCTTATGACCCAAAATGACTGCTCGTGCTCCAACCATCATGTTCACATTGTGCCGGGTTTCTGTTCTCGCGACTAAAAGGCTCAGGGGTCACTCCAGTTGAACTGGGCTAACTGGGCTGCACAAAATAACCACACGAGAGACACGAATACCTTTTTCTTTGGGGTTGCTATGACGGCTCCTCTGACCTTAAGGGTCCGCAGGAAGAGAGAGAGCGAGAGCACCGTTGACCCCTTTTATTGAGGAGAAGCTATTCAAATGAGGCAAGGGGTCAGGTTTCAGGGGGCTGAGTCTATCTTCATGATGTCCACTGTCAGCAGGTTGACTGACACCTGGGTAGGCCACACCCAAGGGCACAGTAAAGGAAGGGGACACACACAAGGCACTTCCATGGAAGATTCTATCCTAAACAGGGCAAGAGGTTATATTACAAAGGAGCAGGTGAGCGTAGCTTCACCCATGGGGCTGTAGCAGGACACACCCATTTCTGTGACTGAGCGCCTCAGCACCCAGCCAAGGAGTGTGACTCAGTCATGTGTAAGATTGGTCTCGTACAGCATTCCACCCAATAGACAAGATGAGGGGATGTCAAAAGGGCACCCCCTTCGTTCTTTAAGGCGGCTTTCTAGATGCACTGTGCTTTACCTTGCACTCCATGGCCACATTTGGGAAGCTGGGAAATGTAGTCTTTTTTTAGGGTACCATGCACCCAGTTAATACCCCAAGGAGACCGTCTGAGCTGCTCACACATGGCTTGACCATCTCTCCCCCTCTCCTCCTCCTTCCTCCCTGGTCTGGCTGGCAGTGGGCACTGGCCTGGGGGGTAACTGCACGGGCTGTGTCATCTGCTCGGAGGAGAACGGCTGCTCCACCTGCCAGCAGAGGCTCTTCCTGTTCATCCGCCGGGAAGGAATCCGCCAGTATGGCAAGTGCGTGCACGACTGTCCCCTGGGCTTCTTCGGCATCCGCGGCCAGGAGGTCAACAGGTGCAAAAGTACGTGGATCCTGTCTCGTCCTGGGCTGGAGGTGGGCTTCTGGGCAGTGCTGTCCCACCCTGTACCCCAGCACATCCAGAGGGGAGCTGGAATCTGACTGAGGCCAAACTTGGATCCCTGCTTGGTTCCAGACAGTCTCTGAGGCCCTACGCCAGCCAATCCCCTGTGACTCCTGCTCTAGTTTGCTGTGTGGCCTTAGGCAATTACTCACCTTCTCTGGGATTAGCTCAAATTGGGAAAGGAGTCCTACCTCTTAACTCTGTTTTTGCTGTGACCTGGGACAAATCATCTCTCTCTCCAACCCTTGGTGAAAACAGAGCCTGGGGGTCCTCACTCCCAGCCTAGATTTGCTGTGTGACTTCAAGCTAGTCGCTAGTCCCTTGAGCCTCAGCTCAGAGGAGAAAGGGAAAGCTCCTCACACGCAGTCCAGGTTGACTTTGCCAAGTCTGAAGTTCAGAGGCGACGCTGAGTCCTGAGCCAGTGTCACCTAACCCGGGGCTGCTCAGGCAGACTCCCGAGGTCCCCCGCCCACAGCAGTCCTCACAGGGGTTGTCCCTGACTCTGTTACAGAATGTGGGGCCACCTGTGAGAGCTGCTTCAGCCAGGACTTCTGCATCCGGTGCAAGCGGCGGTTCTACCTGTACAAGGGGAAGTGCCTGCCCAGCTGCCCACCAGGCACCTTGACCCACCAGAATACGCGCGAGTGCCAGGGTGAGTGGGGCCCCTGGAGCAGGGCGTGGGGAGAGGAGTCCAGAGACCAGGAAGCTAACATGGCAGAAGGCCACGTGGCCATGGGAGCCCAGCACCGCTGAGGCGGGTGATCTGGGGAGAGCTACAGTTTGGGAATCAAACAGATCTCCATCAAACGCCCGCTTTAAAACCTGCCCATTAGTGAGCTCAAGCAAGTCACTATGCTCCCTGTCCCTTGATTTCTCCAAAGGTTAAAAAGAAAATCACAGTAGAATCCAGAACCTACCCCACGGAGAGGCTGAAGAATTAAATGAGTTAAATGTTACGAACATTAAATGTATTGCTGCGACTTGGGGCTTAACAAGCCCGGTGCATGCTAATGTCATTATTATCGCTGCTCCGTTTACTCACTCACAGCAGCTTATCAAACCCCGCAGTGGTCCGCCCTTACCCCGGGCTGTGCCTTGGCATTCTGACCGGAACCAGGCATCTCTGCCCGCACGGCCCCGGGCACAAGGTCATGGTCCTTCCAGCCGCAGAGGGCTCCCGACTCCCTGTCCTCCTGAGCAGCAGCCCCACAGCCCACCTGCCTCTGGGGGCTCCTTCCCCTTCCCCACCTCTCAGGAGGC